ATTTGAACTTCCCAGATTTCTGCAGTCAGCATAACCAATGGTCATAATGTCTGGCCATAATGTCTAGAGAGTGTTTAACTAGTTAGTCCACAAACCAACTTTTCTAAAGGCAGATTTTCTGCAATTGTTTGTTGTTAAGTGCCATCAAGTCAGAACCAACTTTTAGCAACCCTAATAGGGCCTTCAACGTAAGTGAGATATTTAAGGAGTGGTTTAACTAGTTCCACAATGGAGTCAGTTTCCATGACTGAGCAGGGATTTGAATCCAGGCCTCCTGAGTCCTAGTCCATCAATCTATCCACTACCACATTGGGTATTCTTTTTGCAATTATTCCTTTTTTTAAAAAAAACTACATGTATGATACTTATTCTAGACTTGGCTTTTACAGAATTATTTTCAAGTTTACGCAGGCAACATTGCATGAGTCCTTGTCCATTAGACAGTCTGTATGCATAATATGGAAAGAGCATCTGGCTTCTCCCTATTCCATTACCTGTTTGGTTATCCATCTACCAGACCTTTACCATATGTATATTTAAAATTTATACCTTGCTGTTTTTGGAGTGTCTGGTGAAAGAGCTGAAAGCTCTTTGGAGCTACTTATTTATTATTTGTTTGTTTTAAATATTTTTACCTCACCGTTCTCCTTAAAAAGCACCCAAGGCAGCTTGCATCATTGAAATACAATATTTACATCCGAGAACTATGAGTATAAAGAGGCAGCTTGCATCATTGAAATTCAATATTTAAATCCGAGAACTATGAGTATAAAGAGGCAGCTTGCATCATTAAAACACAATGTAAAAGCTAAAACAATAAGTATGCAAATATTAAAAAGGATCAAACAAATACCACTTTGTGAGATGTTAAACACAAGTAGTATGAAAGATCTGGTCAGAGCAGTAATGCATAAGAATCCATCTAAAAGTCACTCATGTAGCCAGTCATGTAGCAAGTGCCTGAGGGAAAGCTTGCCTGAAGAGAAATATGCATAAGAATCCATCTAAAAGGCACTAATGTAGCAGTCATGTAGCAAGTGCTTGAGGGAAAGCTTTCCTGAAGAGAAAGGTCTTTGCCTGCTTGTGAAAGGACAGCAAAGATGGGGCCAGTCTGGCCTCCTGTGGGAGGGTGTTCCAAAGTCTGGGAGTAGCAACCATGAAGGTGATGGGGCCAAGAGAAAGGCCTCTCCTGATTATCCTAACATTCAAGCTGGCTCATCATGGGAGACACAGTCTTTAAGATAGCTTGGACCCAGGCCATTTAGAGCTTTATAAATTAAAGCCAGCCATTTGAAATGTCTGCTTGGAAACACATCAGCAACCAGTGGATGAGAAATAGCCATCAAATACTTGGACGCAAAATGAATCGCATCAATGGAATTTCATGTCATCAAGTGTTTCTGGCCTAATCTTTGATGAAAAGGAGTCTGTCATCAAAAATTACAATATCCCATGCATCTTGGCAGCTCCATGGTTACCAGTGGCTAATGGAGTGTTATAGATTATTTTTCAAAAATGGTCTCCAACTGCTTGAAAAAGCACAATGAGTCCCTTAAAACTGCATTCAAATGCGGCGAAATATGACAGACTTCTATTTCTGCATCTCTTTCTGCTGCTCAACAGGAAATGATTACATCTACAATTTGTTTCATTACTCCTTTTGATCATTTATTTATTGCAGCTTCTGGGCTTGATCACGCTGCATTATTGTCTCTTTGTCATGTTTGTTGTGAGGCTCGTACAACTGTATCAAATGATTTCATCATCTTTAAATTAAAAATTCTCACACCTCTGGGCTGCTGTTCTGGCAGTTTGTGATAGCTCCTGCAGTCACCAGGCTTAGCAGTAGCTGAGATACTGTGTGATGTGCTACAAAATTAGGTCAAATTAACTGTGGGTTTAGTTTGGATTTAGCAGGATGTCTGCTAAATCATAAAGATTTTGCAAGGAATTTAGCAGTTGAACACACTACTATTCCATTCCAACCAGATTTTAAGGTACAGATAGATACAGAGGACACTACTGGCTGGTTATATTTTTACATATGTGGTTCTTAGTTTTTGGCCCTCCAGGTGTTTTGGGACTGGGGCTGCAGGATGTCTAAAATATATGGAGGGTAGTGGTTTAGAACCACTATTTACATGACCTCATTAAAAATGATATTAGTTGAACAGCTCTGCTAGATTAACCTTCACCAATGTTGTCATCTCCAGGTCTGCTAGGGTCCAGTCACCTCAGACACCATAATCATGCTGACTGGAAATGATGAAAGTCATAGTCATTTTGAGGACACTGCATTGTGAATGGCTGTTCTAAAGTACAAGAGAGGTATTAAGTATGAAAGGAACTGTGGAAGGTCTTATGCTAGCTTATGAAGAGTGATGAAAGGTGAGGTACGGTTGAATAAGGAATGGAGAAAAAATCATGGAGTGCTTTTTTGCCTTTTTGTTCAATATTCTCAAATGTCTTGGAGTATCAGTGGAGACATATAATTTAAACTAATTAGCAGGTCTAATAACATTTTTTCAGGGTCTGGATAAGGATAATAAGCATTTTCCCACTTTAAGGGTGCCTTATTGTTGTTTTGGATTGGATTGGATTTTTGAGTGCTTCCATTTCTTCATGAGAAATATGAATTCATGATATGTGAGAGATGAAGACTTACTACATCAAATGCTTCAGAATATAAAAGAACTATTCAGACTCCAAGTCCACACTAATCGTAAACGGGAAATGTTTCCCATGCCTTTATGACACAATATCCATGAAGGTATCAGAAGACCAAAAAAAAAACATGTCAGAATATATGGTTAGTAAAAACCTGCTAACATGAAACAATTCTGGATAACCTCTTGACTTATAAAAATTCTCTCTCCCACAACTCCCATGCTAAAGCAGCCAACAACAACCAAACAGACTCAGCTGAGATATAAAACTTGCCTTGTTGGTTGCAAGAATCTAGGAGTTATCATTCAAGAAAAAAAATAACATCTCCAATCTTTGGTTTGGCATTACATCTTACCTGAACCTGAACCTTACCTGAACCTGAGAGTGATAATGTTGTAAAATAATCTATCAGAAATACTGTACAAGTAGAAATCTTTCTCAATGCCAGTCTCATAATTAATCAGCAATGATTTTCCCCCTGTTTCCACAGGTAACTATTATACAAACACACGATAAAGAGTCTACAAACATAACAAGGCCAGAAGAGCCATTAATCAATCAGCTAATGGTCTATGATTTACTGTCTTGTGTGTGTCAAAAGTAAAGGGCAGTGGAATATAAAAGAAAGTGAGAGGATACTTTGCTGCCTTGTTCTTCCAAATGAAAAGCAAGATGTGGGGCTTCCTTCTTCTTGTGAGTGTCACATTTGCTGATGTGTCCGTTCGCAGATTTGATGGGTAAGAGCAGAATAGCTTAAATATATACATTCTAGGAGATCACCCATTGTTTGTCTGGCATATACCGTATAATTTGTATCTCTTGTTTTCTTTAGGGAGAAAGTTTTTCGTGTAACACCTCACTATGAAGGACAGATCAATATCCTCAAATACATAGCCAGCAAAATGCAGGTAAATGGAAATGCAGAAGGATGATACTGATGTTTAGAATCCAAATTATTTTTCAATCCATAGCATATAGAACTGGCAATTAAGGGGGTCAGTTTTGCTTTCATTGCTGCCAGAAGAACAATGGCAGAATTTGTTGAGGGGATTTGGTGTTTAGTGCAGAGAAAAGCATGGGAAGATCAGCCTAGTTCACCTCAGAAAAGAAAAAAAATCAAGTTTTGATGCTTTTTGGATAAAGGAAACAAAATTTTACTTAAAGTATATGGTTTGTTATTTCCTTTTATATAGTGTGGAGCCACATCTCCACACATCAGTCTTCTCTGGAGAGCAGGAACTGGAGGAGAAAGAAAAAGCAGCTAACAAAGAAATAAGAAGGAAAGGTTTCAAGAAGTATGAGACATGGGAGAAAACACATAGTTAAGTTAATGGTAGATACAGGGCATGCTCCCCTCAGAAGCATGCAAGTTTGTGTTTGGGACAAGTTATTTTGGGGGGGACTATAGCTGCCAGAATGCTCCAACCAGCATAGCTGTAGATTATAGGAGTTATTGTTTTGAAATGCAGCTTTTCTACATTTGGCTTAATAGGGAAAAAAAGTACAGTGGTGCCTCACTATACGATGATAATCCGTTCCACTGAAATCACTGTTTAGCGAAATCATTGTCTAGCGAAAAGCATTTTCCCCATTGGAATGCATTGAAACCTGTTTAATGCGTTCCAATGGGGAAGAATTGTCGTTGTCTAGCGAAGATCGGCCATAGGAAAGCCGCTTTGCGAACTGCCGATCAGCTGTTTAAATCGCTGTCTTGCTAAGCTTAAGTCCTGAAAATACCTGTTTGCGAGCACGGAAGGAGCTGTCAAAATCGTCGTCTAGCAAAAATCGGTTTGCGAAGCAGGGACCAAACATTGTCGAGCAAAATTCCCCCATAGGAATCACTGTTTTGCGAATCGCTATAGTGATCGCAAAAAGCCAATGTCTAGTGAAAAAACTGTCATGCGGGGTAACTGTCTAGCGAGGCACCACTGTATCAGTTTCAAAAGGCCTGATTTCTTTCCTAGAATCATCAGGCAAAGGAAGACCAGGCACTGCCAGGTCTGAGGCAAGCCGTGGGCAAGATCCCAGTGGATGATTCCTCTACAAACCCTCATCAGCACCTCCTCATTATCTCTCCCTTCATTTTCTCTCCCAAACAACCTAGTTGTTCTCTTTTCTCATCCCCATCCACCCTTTGCTGCTTGGCACACCTGACAGCACAAGCATTCACTTCCTGATACCTAGGAATCAATGGGAGGGAAAGTCATCAGCTGCCTGGTCACAGGCCACCCATGGTTCCCTGTTCAGATCTTTGCTCTATGACACCCATCGGGCTGTAAAAGAGTAACAACAGAAAGCGAAAGTTGGACATCCCCTAGGCTGCAGAGTTCTGGAAAGTCTGCATGTTCTCCATAAAAATAGATTTAATTTAGGTACAACGGAACTTGGAAATACTACTTTTAATGTGTGAAGAGCACTGCATGCTTTGAGGGGAAATGTGCTAGTGCCACCACCTCCATCAACTCTATAATCATTCTGGCTGGTGGACCCAAAAAAGCAATGTTTCCAGGCTGTAGTATAGTAAGCAATTAATTCAAAGAATTGGAAGAAGATTGCCCAAGTTATAAACCTTGTTGTTAACAAATGTTGTTTGCTAGAAATTTAAGCTTGTAATTAATTTCATCCTTCCAAAAAAAAAAAAAGGTTCCTGTGTGTCATCTTTGTCTTCCCCAAATGTTCTCTATACCCTTCGTCAGATTACAAATGTGTGTTTGGTGGCCTTGTTGTAGATATATTATGGCATGAGAAAACACTACCAAAGATAGCAGATCTGTTTTCAATATTTGTGTCTTGCTTTGATGTTGAGATAGCTGCAAAAGAGAGGATAGGGAACACCATCATAGTCACCATGAGATGTGGCATTTGCAATGATATACAGATGTAGAGGAGCTTTTCATTGACCATAGGCCATTGTCAGACTCTCTCCCACGCTGAGCTAAGCCCTGTTCTGCATTATGTCTTGCATTCTGCATCCATTCAAACTAATGAGACTTCTGTTATGCCATCTTTGAAGGCTGGGGTTCAGCCAGCTGTTATGCCAAATTCTAAACATGAGGTGTGAAGAAGCAATTATGGTTTTTTTGCTTTGTATTTTGAATTGAGGATCTAAAGGGATCCAAGAAATCATCTAGTCCGGCATCCCCCATTATCCTCCTTGCAGATATGCTGGGTGGAGTAAAGCAAAACATCTGCAGGGGCCCATGCATGGGAAAGCTGTTGTAGTCCTACATCTGCTCTCAGAGCAAGACAACCAGCTGCTATGCCACAAACAGGGAATTAATAGCTCTCCAGATGTTGGCGGACTGAAATTCCCACCATAGGATATGCTATCTAGGACTGATTAGAATTGCAGACCAACAATGGCAGGGGGGACTCGAATGTTCCATCCCTATGTTACACCCTCCAAACAGCCCTTTGGCAGAGAAGATGTTTTGCTTGCATGAAGTCCCTAAGCCAGGATTCCAATTAAAGTGGGGATGGGCCAAGTGCAGCCTTCAGTCCATATGTGGCTTTCCAAAGACATTTGGAACTACCCAGTGCCAATGGAGTCCCTCCATGTGCCTCCCCACCACCATATATATATATATATAAACACATTAACGTCTCAAGATCCTTTTTTCATAAGGTTTATATATATAAACCTTCTGAAAGTAGGATCTTGAGATGTAAATATGTTTTTCAGTTTCACATAATAATGTCACTCCAAACCCCTAGAACAACAACAACAGAAAATCTAAATCTGATGCGGATGTTCATTCACTTTTGGTTTTGGGTTTTTTGTTTGTTTGTTTGTTCAGTGGTTTAATTTTTTTCATTTCTGGTCCCGGTTCAGTCTTCCATGGGTTCTGGGACAAACGTTCGGTTCCCAGACCCATCAGAGTTGCCACCGAGTTAAAGGATTAGACAGTAGTCCGATAATGTCAGGAGCCCCACAGTTCCCAGTATAGTGGACCCTCGACTTACAGATGGCTTGACTTACAGACTTTTCGAGTTACAGACTTCTCTGGCCTCATAATTTAGATTCGATTTGCAGCTGGAGAATCGACCTACAGACCAGAAAAAAACCAAAATGGAACAAAAGTGGAATGAAAATGGCCGGTTATGGATTAATTGGTTTTCAATGTATTGTAGGTCAATGGAGACTCAACCTACAGACTTTTTGACCTGCAGCCACTGTTCCAATACGGATTAATTCCATAAGTTGAGGGTCCACTGTATAGTACAAAAGTTAACTGAAGGCCTAGCCTTAAGTAATATATGTTGGATTCTGGCCGTAGTGAGAAATAATGACACCATGAAATTGAAAGGATAAACATCCATACAACACCAGACATGTGAGTTTAAATACTGAAAGACTATCTGAAGCTCTGCCTTCCTGCCTCAATAGTAACATTTCAGCTTTTAAAAGACATCTTGAATTCATTTGATCAGTTTAAACAAAATTTACACCTGGCTATCTGTTCCTAATTACTGATTAAATTAAAAGTTAAGAAGGAGAAAAAAAGGAAGAAGTCATCCTGGTCAGCTTAGTGTCTTAGGTCTTTGGCTGTAGAGTCAGAGTCCCAACCTCTGCCTTGATAGGAGCTGGACTTGATGATCCATTGGATCCCTTCCATTTATACAATTCTAAGATTATCATCACCATTATCATTCTGGGATGTTACATAGGAAGAAATATAATACTTCATTGGATATGGTTGTGTGAATACACACAAGAATGCACACACACAAAATGCACGGATACGTTTTATATCTTTTCATTTAATAAATGAATACTAGTCTTTAATTAGTACAAATAAACTAGATTACTGCACATGCTTAGTTGGAAATAAATACCATTTCACAGTGAAATTTACTTATTTCTAAACATTTACAAAGAGTGGGCTGTTACTCATCCTTTCAGAGGTACAATGAACTATCTCACCATGAAATACATCTCATGTTTGATCGAAGCTTAATTTATCTACCACACATGTCCCAGTGCCTTTCTGTAAATCCCAAATGAAGAAACAAAACATACTTTCTACTCTCCTGGCAACTGAAAGTGCCTATAAACATCACCCATTTAAGGAATGGTATGATGCAAGTGTGTGTGAAGTAAAGAGAAAAGATTAAGTAAATAAAGCTAGGCCACAACAAAAAAACAAGGAAGGAGGCATACTTTTTTCTTAATGTCTTAGAAAAAAACAGTTAATTATGAAGAGAGAATCAAGATTTATCATTATATATTTAGATAATAGCTTTCCCTATTTACTGGGTTACAATCCCAGAGGTAATAATATTTTGTTCATTGCTTAGATACCAAGGCAGTAGGCACCTTTTAGCCTGTTTATCTATCTAATCCATCCACATGAAATGAGGTCACAAATTCCTCACTTAGACAAGTCAAATGTTACCATCAGGTCAAAATTTTACAAATTGTTTGTTTCCCATAAGCTAGAGTGCCAATGTACATCTAAAAACTGTTTATCATTTTGAGGCAGATCTGAAGTCTGTCCAAGTCCCACCTCTTCTTCCGCTCTTGAGATTTAAGGGCCTAGACAGTGGGTCAGTTTGAGTTTTCCATTGCCAGCGAGAGAAGGATTTAGGAGAATAGAAGAATTGGTTATTAACAATAACCATCACCATAAATGATCGGGTGCTATCAAGTCAAGCCTGACTTATGGTGATGTTTTTCAGGTTTTTCAAGTAAAGAATACTCAGCAGCAGTTTATCATTCCCTTCTTCGGGGACTGCACAGTTTGCCCTTGACTATACCGGCTAGCTCTTATCTCTGGAGGCACAGCCAGGAATCAAACTCCCAACAATGATCGGGTGCTGTCAAGTCAAGCCTGACTTATGGTGATGTTTTTCAGGTTTTTCAAGTAAAGAATACTCAGCAGCAGTTTATCATTCCCTTCTTCGGGGACTGCACAGTTTGCCCTTGACTATACCGGCTAGCTCTTATCTCTGGAGGCACAGCCAGGAATCAAACTCCCAACAGCTAGCTCTTGTCTCTGGAGGCATAGCCGGGAATCAAACTCCCAATCTATGGCTCTACAACCAGATATCTAAACCCCTGAGCTTTCCAGCCAGCTCATAGCAGTACTTGATAATGGCTTCCATGAACTGAACATAAGGGTTTTCCCATATTTATTACTAATAAATATGCCCTCCATCTTCCATAAATTAAGCCTCTCCACACAAGCCAAAAGACTGGTTTGGCTCAGGTACAAAACAACTCTCCTATTTTGTTGGCAGAAAGAAGCAATGTTAGTGAAACACTGTATTGGTTTTCTGACACAACCTTCCAACCACCTCTTGCCTGCCATTTAGTGTTGGTGTGGATTAAAATAGACAAAGTCTACTGAACATACGCAACCTCAGAAGCTGAATATGGTCAGGCCTAGTTAGTACTTCACAAGGTGAGGAGATCACATGACACCACCCAGCCAAACACATATAGAATGAAACTTTGTGTATCTTCTTTCATGGACTTCCTTGTTTGGTTTTCAGGTTGATTTCTGGCATCCAGATTCTGTTGAACAAGTGACAACAGACATGGCTGTTGATTTTCGTGTTGAGGCAGACAAGTGTTCTGAAGTGGAGAGTCTCCTGCAGCAGAGTAGGCTGGACTATGAGTATGTTTCTTCTTATGACATTTGTTCCATTAATATAAGTGGACCAAGTAGAGAGCATATCTCTGTTTCTATTGTTTCTTACATTAAAAGATGTCACAGCAATTTGCTGTTTAATGTAGATATGGATTACTGAAAACAAAATACTGGTGATGGTTAGAATGGTTTAACCATGCCTTAGAATGGTCAGGTCTTCTACTTTACAAAGGACAGATCTTTATTTCAAGGCATCCTCTTCTGAGTCCATGTCTACCTCAGTTTGAAGAGAAAGAATCCTATTAGTGATGTCTGCCAGGATAACCCCATCGACATAGGTCTCAACTGTGAATTGCCACACCTTAATAAGTTAGCATAGGTACTCACTGTTGCAAACCAATCCTGTGCATTAACATGCAGCAGCAAATGCCTCTTCTGACTTCCTGATCTCTGTTGATTCACAGCTGCAATTTATGGAGTCATGCCAGTGTAATTTTTCAGATGGATTATGGCCAGGGATTCATGCCAAGAGGCAGTGGGGGGACTTGAAGCTGCCCATTAATAATTATTTCTGGACAGCAAACTTAGCCAGCACAAAAGTCATCTATTATGGTCTTCCACACCAAGATGAAATGCTCTTCATTTTGGCTTAAGTTGCATCCAAACAGCATCTGCACATAAACATTAGTTTATGTAAATTTTATATTACATCTGGACCCTCTGTGGCCCTCGTTGTTGGCAAGGCATAAGCAGCTGCTTTACCATTCCATCTGGCTGAAGTGTCATGTACTTTAGAAATCCTGCTCACCCTACTTGAAGTTAAAGCTTTGCAATGTACAGGTATGGATGAGAACCTAAGTCTCTGTAGGTCTGGATTTTCAAAATCCAGGGTAAGAACAATACTGAAACTCAGAATACAAAGCAGTATGCTAGAAACTGGTGCAAACATTAGCTCCCGGTAACCCAGGCAGGTTTGGAAATAAGTGGGTAGTGGAACTGGCAGGCCACTAAAAAGAAGATTAGGATCATAGGGTCAGAAAATGAAGCAGGAAGAAGTGGAGGTGAAGCATGAGAAAGGGTCTGCAAGTTGCACTATTAGTTCATGTGCTTAACGAGTTAAACTACATTGGATTGTAAATGTTTACAATTTTTTACAAAAATGGAATAGCAAATTCAGTTTATATAAATTGCAGGCAGCAGGATCAGGAAAAGAAACATCATGTGTGAGGAAGCACAACATTAACCCTTCCCTTCCATGAGATAAGCACTGGAGCCATAGATTGGTCCCAGTCTGTAAACAAGCAGTAACTTCCTGAGGTCCTTGGTGATGCAGGATTGTCTTGATGGGAAAGGAAGAGTTACTCTGTTATGTGCTGAGATGCTTTCTCTTTTAATAATGAATGCATATAACTGTCTGCACCAGAGAGCTGTCTGAGAGCTTGTCCCTGATAAAATTCAGTGAAGTGTCCTTGCCACAAGCAGCAGCAATCTAAGCCTTTGATGTGCAGCCACAACACCCTGACATCACGTCAATGTGACCAGTTCAAGTGCTCATGATGAAGGCTGGAAGTGCATTGGAAAGTGACCTTTCTAACTCTTCCAATCCAGTTTGCAGGACCCAAGGACATTGAGTTTGCCCATTTCGCTACCCTAAAGCTATTCCATTCAGGAGAAAGTGGGAGAGATCTTTTGCCCCTTCCTTCACTAGCCATGCAAACAGTCCTAAAGGCAGTTTTTATGGCCTGTAGATCCAATCCAGGAGACAAATAATGTTTCTGAGAGATCTCAAAATGGCATGTGAGAGAGGCTTTTGATCTCTTTTTATTTTCACTTCCCATAATGCATACAGCCTTATCCAAGCTGGTGTCCAATAGATGTTTTGGACCTTGACTCCCATCAGCACCAACGAATATCACCAAGGATAGAGAACCATGGGAGCTGATGTCCAAAATGTGTGGAGGGCACTTGAAGACAGTGCCTGTAGGGTAGGCACATTTCTTCCACTCAACATTTCCCCTGGTCAAATCACTTTTCAGGATTTTTGAACCATTACAAAATAATGAACAAAAACTACAAAAACTCCTGGAAAATCAGTTTCCTGAAGATACAGTAAATCTGCTCCCAAGGAGGTCTTGAGATAGAATATCAGGAGAAAATTAAAAAGCCCCCTTTTGGCTTCTCATTTTTCTTTCTTTATTTCAGAATCTTGATTGAGAACGTTCAGTCTGTGATTGACAGGCAGCTTGACCATCATGTTCGGGCCACTGGACACCAGTATGAAAAATATAACAATTGGGAAGCGGTAAAGAATATTAATGAGTTTAACCCTCTTCTCTCCCTTCTGCTTGGAAGTTTTGCTTGCCAACACTGTTTGGTTAGGAAGGATCCATAGTTCAGAAACAGAGCATATGCTTTGTCTGGGTTAGGTGCCCAGTTAAAAATCTGTTCAATGGCAGAGCCATAAAAAATCTAAGTCATCTGCCAGCTAATCGACCAAAAACATAAGTGGGGAACCTCTGCCCTGTTGGCCGAATGCAGATCTCCAGACTTTCCCCAGGCCACACCTTTTCTTACAGGCCACACCCCTATCCTGGTTATTGATAATATTTGCTTGTCCTGTTATGCTTCCTCACTGGAATGCTGGTGAAGAAAACCTTGCACAACACAAATTGTGAAAAGAGAGTGTCTGAGGTTACCGGTAAATCCCCTTTCCCCCGTTTGGAAGCAGGAAAATACTAGATACCTCTTTTGCCACTTCCATCATAGTCTTCACATGGCAGGCAACTAGTCTTCAAAGATAGAGGTGCCTGTATCTATGGATATTGTCCCCAGGAATTAAAACCCTAGAAAATCAGGATTCTAATCCATGTGGACGGCTCCTACAAATGCAGGTAGCTCTACCTTTTAAAACATTGACCTCTACATGTAAAGAGTGATGGCACTAGAGATGAATGGAGCGAGGCTAGAGCACATGGTGCTGTCCATGATTACCTGGAATAGCACTGATTCAATGGGACTACTCTTGTGTGACTTACTGTGCTAAACGGCAGGATTTCAACCCTTGGGATGTAGACAGTACTAACCAAGGTGAAGTCTTAGTCTGACTTAATATTGGGCAGTTTCTGTTATTAATACATGCATTTATTTATGATTAACTCAACAGATAGAGGCTTGGACAGCTACTATTGCCAATGAGAATCCAACTCTTGTTTCCCGGTCACAAATAGGAAATACTTATGAGGGACGTCCAATATATGTCTTGAAGGTATTCACTTTTAAGAACTTTATTCAATCTGTTCTGTTTTCTCTTGGCAGGTAGGAAATGGTAATATTTATTAAGCCCTCAAAGACATTCTCTCGGTTTCTGCCTCCTCCCTTATCTTTTGTGCTCTCTCCCTCTCTCTGTAAATGCTTTAGGAAACAAGACAGATTTTGTGAATTCCTCTATGGTGACATTTTTATATTTTTTGATTGATCGTAAACCCTTGCAAAATAGCGCAGGCTGTAATAAAAAGCTTTACCAGTTTGCATGTATAAATTTAACCATGTTCCTGTAAGCAAGGTAAATGGTAATCTACCTTTGTGTGATTGGGTGCTCCATCTGTTGTTTGTAAACCTATTTCCTATAAAGTCATCTATAAACTTCAGTCTCTCTCCTCATCACACCCACCTTTTTTTCCTTTTTTTCCTTTTTTTTTGCCAGTTGGAAACAAACAAATCTGGTTTCCCAACTGAGTAACTGAAACAAAAGAAAACTGTTTACCCCTCTTCTTATTTTGGAGAACTTGTCTGGATGCTGTAAGAACATAAAAAGACTGACGGATCAGATATTGGATCATACCAAAGTCCTGTCTAGTTCAGCATTTGGTTCACACAGTGGCTAACTCTTTGCCTATGGGAAGCACACTTGGAGGACATTAGTAAAAGCAAAGCAAAGCAAAGCTTATATACCGCCCCATAGTGCTTCAAGCACTCTCTGGGCAGTTTACAAGTTAATGATGCAGGCTACACATTGCCCCCCCCCCCCAGCAAGCTGGGTACTCATTTTACTGACCTCGGAAGGATAGAAGGCTGAGTCAACCTGGAGCCGGCTACCTGGGATTGAACCCCAGGTCGTGAGCAGAGTTTTGGCTGCAACAACTGGTGTACAAAAGTATCTCAGTGTATGAAGTCATGACTAGAGATGGGCACAAACTACCAAACCGGTGATTCGTACTAGTTCAAGGTTTTGTGTTGTTGTTGTTTTCCAAAACAGATGTTCAGCAGTTCCCAGCCCTGCCTCCTATGGTGGATGCCCACTCAAAGGCGGTGTCCTGAGGAGGTGACACAGGGAAGCCAGGGTGCCACCTCTGAGTGGGTGCCTGCCAGAGGAAAGCACCAAACACCTGTTCAGCCAAAAAAAAAACCCAGACACACAACAGGCAGTTCATGCCCATCTGTAGTGATGACCTTGCCCCAGATCTTGGAAACATTGATTTTCTGTCTACAACTCCACAGTCAACACACTAATATGTGTTGTAGTACCTTCTTGTGGTTTCCCCATAGACAACTGGCTGGTCACCGTGAACACTATGCTGGACCAGATAGGCCTTTTGGTATGATCAAGCATGACTTTTCCGTGTTCATACAACATCCAGCTTGGATTTGTGTGATTCTAGGAGTTATAATCCAAAAAATTCTGACACGCTACATTGGTCTAAACTGTTGACATACTACCACAGAATTGAACACCAAGTGCATTTCCATCTCATCCAATTTGATTTCTACATAGCTAAAACAAATGGAAGAAATACAATGCCAGTTTGTAATGGATTTCACGTTAAGTTTCTAGAATTCTTTCACAGGTATTTCCTCACAAAGATCTAGAACTTAAGAGATTTGTGGTCTAAATCACTCACTCCCAGGCTAAGACTGTCAAGCTTTGCTGAACTACAACTCCCATTATCCCCCACTCAGGATGTGCAGGGTCCATCTTGGCAGGAGATGGCAGGTGTTGTAGATTTCACAAGAAACAGGTATGATCTTAACCATGTGGCCACTGAAATCTTAACTTTCTCCAGATTATTCTATTTACATTCTACAAAATGAATATAACTTTACCACTCTGTTCAGGGGGATGGCATCCATTGTAGATTTGGGGCAAAATATTTCAAGTATTTTCAGAAGTGGACTTTATATGAGAGTAATTGGTCTGTATTTCTTCCTATGGAAGGATCATTTCATTTTTACTGTTTTAAATTTTGTTACTGCTTCTGGCAATGATAATGGTGGAGCTTTCCTTCTTGGCAACCTAGTGTCAGCTGTCACTTTTCCCCACTGTTGAATTCCCAGGACTTACGCTGTGGTGCTATATGTGTGTATCTCTATCTGTGTGAAAATAAAACTGCCACCAATGCTGTTACCACGGTAGGAAAAAAACAAAACAACATTCACTACCACAATAAGACAACGCATCCCAAACTATTAAACAGTCCTGATTCTAGAATTGCTGCCTACACAGCCCAACAATTTCCAATTATTTTTGTAACAGTCGGTCTTGAAGTCCTGCCCTAGTTTGTGGATCACATCCAAAAATTTAGCCTTAATTGCAGCATGCGTGATAGCGTCTGTATCAGTGTTGTGGCCTGTGAAAAGACATAATCTGACACAAAATAAATTACTGGAGAAATGTCTAGAAATAGTCACATTCCTGTAACTTTGAATTTCAGCAGAAAGAGGTCATTTCACTCCAGCGTGAGAA